CCTCAATATCCTCGCAGGAATGCCGTCTACTCCAGTTGCTTTATTAATGTCCAAGTTGCAGAGGATATTCTTAACTTCACTGTACGAAGTGAATACATCCATCAATAAGTTAGGATTAATCACATCAACATGAGAGCTGCCAGAGTTTGATGTTTTTGTAGAGAAAACGGAGCTGAAGAATTCATTGAACAGGGAAGCTTTTTCCACAGGATCTTTACCACGTCTATCCCGACGAAGGATACTATAACCCTCAAGATGTAGATCACGGTCATCAAATTCATTGTCTAACCAAGTCTCCGTCAAGGCAACAATGTCAAAGGAGTCCATTAATAACAAAGCATTTAGGTCGTTGATCTTGTTTCGAATACTCCTCGTATTTAATAATAAGCACTTGGAGAAGCCATTAGCAGAGTGAGGGGAAGATTCCGCAGAGACATCAGAGCTTAAGCTTACATTCTGCCCAGTTGAGAAGGACGACTCAAAGAATGAATCAGTGAAGTTAAAAGGCCACCCACAATTTTTGTCACAGAACCACTGCTCATCAGAAGACCCCAAGTCAATATAAGCCTGTAGATCCATGGTAATGCACTTTAGGTGGAACCATTTGTTACAACCATCGCAGAGAATCCCTTTCTGATTGGAGCGAACAGACTTCGTACATACATCACAAGGGCACTTCCAAAGAGGTTTTTTGCGAGTTGTGGATAATCCCGGAGATAATGACTGTTCTGGTCCAGGGTTTATTTCGATGTCTCCACATTGTACCAATCTTGAGATATTAAATGTAGAAACAGAATTGGGATATCGAGTCAGGTCTGTACCAAAATATCCCTTCGCACGTGTTCCAAGATGGCGGACTCGCGATGTCAATGCAACAAAGAAGTTTCGAGTCGTCTCCAAGTCTATGACGCCTCCAACAAGATGCAGACGAGTCTTGGGATGAGATAGTCGTATTTTGAGGAAAGTAAAACTATTACAGGCTAAGAAACAAACTAAAAAAGCGGTAAAAACAGGAGGGAGGGAAAACTTACAACCAGCCGCCATGACTACCGCTGACGTACCGCTGTACCTCCCGGGCCAAATAAAGAATTAATTAGGTTAAGCAATGGTATTGGTGGAAAGGAATGTACAAAGATGTTGAACATTGATGTAAGTCTTGCACTGAGTGCTCCATGAAGAAATCGCCTAGGAATACCAAAAAGGCACCCTTACTTCCAATTCCAGTGGAGAAATGCTTTTGGTAAGGTGGCTGTTGATGTGTTAGGGCCTTTCCCACCTTCTAATAGAGATAATAGGTACGTTCTCGTTTTCAGTGATTATCTTGCCTGATGGTGTGATGCATTTTCTCTTCTGAGCTATGAGGCAACTGTAATTTCTCTTCTATTAGTGAATGAGATCATTGCCAGACATGGTGCACCTATAGTTTTGTTGTCTGATAGAGGAAGAAACTTCCTGTCTAAAGTGGTCGCAGATGTTTGTAAAGTTTTCCGCATTCACAAGGTTAAAACTTCTAGTTATCACCAGCAGACTGATGGCTTAGTTGAAAGATTTAACTCTACTTTATGTCAATCTCTGTCAATGTTTGTCGCAAAGAATCAAAAGGATTGGGATGATTTTACGCGTGACATGAAGGCTGTGGGTATTGACACAGAGACCTGGGAAAATCTCACAGCTGATTGGTCACAATGGAGAGGAACCGTGACCGTTCAAAACCTCTGTGATTTCACAAATGCTTATGCTCAGGAACACATTGCTGACAATCCAACCTATCAAAACAAAGCCAAAGGCTGGGATTTGATATCTGTCACGGAAATGTATGGTTTTATTGCCTGCTTGATTTATATGGGCTTCATGCAGTTACTTCAGCAAGAGTATTACTGGTCCTCTGCATCATTGTACAATGGCAACTGGGCTCGTCGTATGATTTCCCCCAGGGCAATCATGGCATTTTTCAGATGTAATGATCATACAGTTATGGATAACAATGACAAACTCCGACAAGTAATATATCTGATTGACCATGTCAAGCAGTCCTGCCAAGAATTTTCCAATGCAGCAAGGAAGTTGAAGTGGACGAGAGGATGGTGTGATCGAAGCACAGATCTGGTATGAGACAATACAATAAAGACAACCCCACAAAATGGGGTTTGAAACTGTGGGTCCTGGCCGATTCAGATACACATTACACTTATAATTTCAATGTGTATCTTGGAAAGGCCAGAACAGCAACATCAGGAAAACGGCTTGGCTATGATGTGGTCTTGGAACTAACAGAGTGCTTGCATCAACAAGGTTATCATGTGTACACTGATAATTACTATACCTAGCTTCCTCTTCTGGTGGACTTGAAACAACTGGGACTTCTAGCCTGTGGTACAACATCAGCAATCAGAAAGCGTTTTCCAAAAGAAATGAAAACAAGTGGTACATGGGCCAAAAAGGTGAACCGTGGAAAACAAACGTGGCGACGGTTTGATGAAGGTGTTCTTGGTATCCAGTGGAAAGACAACAAAGTTGTTAGTATGCTGAGCACCATTCATAAAGGAAGTGACAATGTCTGGTGTAGATGGCGATGTAAGGATCCTCGCACAGGAAGGTTCTCTATCAAAGTCTTGAAACAGCAACATGCAAGGGATTGACCAATCAGACCAACTGATTGAATCATACAGTGTGCTACGAAAAGTGAAAAAGTATTGGAAAGTACTCTTTTTTCACCTGATTGATGTTGGCACTGTCAATGCATTTGTACTGTGGAAAGAATATCAAAGTCAACACCCAGAAAGAGCTGACCTGCAACGACAAAAGGGATATGACCAACTGGCATTCAGGGAAGCTCTGGTGCGACAGCTGGTCAGTATTGAAGAAGCTGACCCAGTTCCTGTCAGGGGAAAGCAACCCAAATTACCAAAAAATGCCAGGAATGGAGCCTCTCACCTCCCAGTTGTTGACAGCAGTCGTGGTAGAGGTAAAGTGTGTACGTCATCTGGTGTCCAATCTCGCTCTAATGTGAAATGCGAGACGCATGATGTAGTTCTGTGTCTCAACAAAGACAAAAATTGCTTTTATTTTTATCATACCTTGGATTACCAAGGAGGCACATGGATGATTGAGTTCAGTAATGTACTTCATAGCTCCTGTAAGTTGCTTATGAACATTTTTCATGACTGGACACGAGATTTCATTTGTTTTTTGTCTTTTGTAAGTGCCAGGTGCCACCCCGTGTGGGGGACTGGATCGAGATTAAAAAGGTCGTGTTGTGAGCACATGGAATTAATGAGTCTGGAGTGTGTCTTTTAAACCGGGACAGTTAGAATAATTTCCCAAGCCTAGGAATCTCCATAGTGGTCCTTCGAGCGCCGGATACAATAGAATTGAATTGGCTTTTGGATTATACCTACGTAGAATCAAAGCATGGCGGAGAAATTGGCGAAATTGCAGTTGGAAGTGTCAGATATGGACAAGCAAAGCGAAATCATGACACGTGAAAGGAACCTGCCGCGGTATTTGAGCGATTACACCGAAGTCCCCGGTCAAAACAAACTCCAGACAATCAAGAACAGAAGAAAATCGATGCGATGGAATTTGGCGCGGAAGATGAATATCATAAGGCGAGTTGTGGATAATCCCGGAGATAATGACTGTTCTGGTCCAGGGTTTATTTCGATGTCTCCACATTGTACCAATCTTGAGATATTAAATGTAGAAACAGAATTGGGATATCGAGTCAGGTCTGTACCAAAATATCCCTTCGCACATGTTCCAAGATGGCGGACTCGCGATGTCAATGCAACAAAGAAGTTTCGAGTCGTCTCCAAGTCTATGACGCCTCCAACAAGATGCAGACGAGTCTTGGGATGAGATAGTCGTATTTTGAGGAAAGTAAAACTATTACAGGCTAAGAAACAAACTAAAAAAGCGGTAAAAACAGGAGAGAGGGAAAACTTACAACCAGCCGCCATGACTACCGCTGACCCGGACAAATTTCTTGCGTATCACGTAATTACTTTTTTTTAGATCGAATAAAGACTTGCAGTGTAGCCAATCGATGAGGGCGAACCATTTTCCACGAAGTTATCCGGCCGAACCATGGACGCTGGAAATCATCGGCTGCTACTGACAAGCTCTCCAACATAAAATAATACCTTTCCCGAGACCACCGAAAATTATACTTTTACAAATTCAGCGCAAAAATCAGGTGTTGTTTGTTCATCACATCCCCGCGTCCCACGTCCCGGAGTCCCACGTCCCCGAGTCCCACGTCCCCGCGTCCAACGTCCCCGCGTCCCACGTCCTCACATCCTCACGTCCTCACGTCCCTGCGTCCAACGTCCCACGTTCGCGATCCCACGTCCCACGTCCCCGCGTCCCAAGCCCCCGAGTCCCACGTCCCCGCGTCCCACGTCCCCGTCCCACTTTTAGTCACGGCCCTGGGTAAGAACATGAGTGAGAGGATTCTTCCCACCGTTCCTCTTCATCGTTTTCTTTTCCTAACTTTCGTTCTTTTCCTCTTCATCGTTTTCTTTTCCTAACTTTCGTTCTTTTTCCTCGTCATCGTTTTCTTTTCCTAACTTTCGTTCTTTTTCTGTCAAACACTTAACATTACCTCAGATTTAGTTCTCACTGGAATCAAAGAACCCTATGAATCCCTTCCATAGTTCTTTATACTTTTCAAAAAGATATCAATAACATCTAAGTTCACTTTCAGATTATTGCAATGCCATGTTATGAATTTTTTCAGAAGATTGTATCGCTGGAGGAGGGAGAGGGAAAGTGCTTGCTATCTAAAAATTGGCATGTTTGAGGCTCATATTTTTTACTTTGGAACCGATTTTGGTGAAATTCTGAAGAATTACTCATGTCATTCTGAAAATTGATGTGCTGTAGAAGAGTTTCCTGATAATTATTGTTTCAGAAAAAAATTGGAAATTTGTGTGAAAATACATCGCTGCTTTGGAATAGGGGGATCAACTGTTGTACCACTTATTTGACGACATCAGCCATTTCACAGTTTTACCCTCTCTAAAGTCTTTAATTCTTTGTTGTAAAACAAATGGGCTTTACAAAGTGTGCTGAGCACAGAAGAGTTATTTTGAAGTAAGAGTTGCAAAAAAGTAGTACATGTTCATATAACCTGTATAAGCTCTTTCAAGAGGTTTAGAAATAACTGGTAGGACCAAGATAGGCATATAATTATTCTTATCTTGAGGCATGTCTTTCATGTAAACAGGGGTTAACCTGGCTTTAACCTCGTCTTCTACAGCAAAAAGAAAGTATCAACAAAAAAAGCAGAGAAGTAAACATGATGCTAAACAGGAAAAGTGTGGCGTTAAAATACAGAAATAGAAAAAAATTTTAAATAACTTTGAAGTTCATAACTTTTACATTTGCATGAGTAAAACTCCTCTTAATCAATCTTATTAAAATGTTAATTTACTATGGAATTAACTCCTTTTTCTGATCATATCACCGCTGCTGATAATAGGCATTTTGTTTCTACTGTAGCGTTAAATCATAACCTCTAAGAACTAAAAAACATTGCTTTCAAGATTTTCATAGTATCATCCGGTGATTTTACTTTGTGCCCTTCAGTTCGTTCATCCATGTAGATTTCATAATCATTCCCACCCTGAAGTAAGGTGGAAACAGAATAAAAGTGCTTAAGTACTTTGAGCACATTTTATTTGAGTGTTGAATCCAGGAGTAAAAGTTGATCTTGCAGTCAACTCATCTTAGTAAGAAGAGTCCCAAACAGGCCTCCTTCTGCCATTGACTTGCATTTTCTGGCTTATATGGAAGTCATCATTGGAATCAATTGACCTCTACTAACCTTAGTACCCTCCAGGGAGCTCTTGGAGTGATGTTGATGCCCTATGGGAACCCCATTTTCAAGTGCCTAATTCATGGAGTTCTTGAGGGGGGCTCACATAAATTATTTTAATTTTATATATTTTTTTTTTAACTGGCATGACAGACTTTGCCCAAAAGGAGGGGTTGCTCATACTCCATCACTAGAGTTGATAATGAACCTTTTCAGGACTACTCTCACTCAGACAATCAGACTACATGATTAAAGTATCTCCAAAGGTGTGACAGAAAACAATGAAAATGAAGAGTATACATAAACTTAGATATTGAAGCAGTTACCTCATAGCATTTGTCCCCGAAGAAATGAATTTTTTGGTAACCATCACCTTCAACATGTCTCAGGCAATAGGTTTTGTCCCAGCCTTTTGGAAAGACATCAAAACTTATCTGACCTCCTATACTGATATGGAGTCCATAATCAGCAAATTTTTCCCGCAAAATTGACACAAACTTTTCTCTAACTTTGTGTTCCTGTGGAAACAATGGATCAAAACCAAAAACCTTACATAAAAGTTAATGACAATAAATTACATGAAATAAAGGGACTTTTATCCTTTAAGACTAGTCATCTGACAGTCAAACCAGGCAGACAAACTCTTTTTCACATGACACTGTTCAGCTTTGTAAAGTGTAGCTTCCACATTAGAGATGTGATGCTTAATCAGGAATAAACTAACTATCAATGAATTATGTCTAAAACAGCATCAGAATTTTAATTCCTCAATCATGCAGCTTTTGGTTTCACACCTTAATAAGAATAGAGACAATAAATTTTGTAAACATAAAGCAGTTACTACATTACAAATGCCCATTTTCCAAACAAAACAAGACTGTCACAGCAAATGACATTCTTGTAGTACCTTATCATACTCAAAGAATGCTATCCTTTCTTCTTGGGAGCAGTTTCGTCCAATAGGTGACACATTTAACATGCCACTTCTAAACTCAATGAAAGTACCCCTAAAAATGAAAATAAGAATGACAAGTTCATAAGATGTAGTGAATAAGATGCAATTGAGCAAAACAGAAATGTAATCTCTTGTAACTTTACTGATTGCCTTCCTAAAAGTATAGCTACATTAAATAGTGATTACTCTTTTATCAATTCTTTAGTTAATTCTGGGTAGATTCAAAAAGCAGATTTTCTGCAGATCATAAAATCATAATGACACAGTGGTTATATATAATAACCAGTGGTGGATCTAGGGGAGGAGCATAGGGCCCCATCCCCCTTCCCTAATTTTGGGTAAAAAATAAACACAGAGGGAATAAAAGCCAGCAGGTGAACACACACAAACAAAAATTCCCCCCTCCCCCCCTTAACTCAAGGTCTGGATCTGCCATTGATATTAGTAATAAGAAAGAATGTAGACTGAAACTTAACCTCTTCATAGGAAGGTCCAAGTCAGCAATATATTTTAAGCAGAAATTGATGAAAGTCTTGAGCTTTTCGTCACCCATAAATTTCTTGATACTCTGTGAGCATAAGTATATAACAAAATATAAATAAGTACAACGAGTTACTTGAGAGAACTACACTGAATAATCATTTCCCAAATGACCCATTTCTTTCACATAGATGTGATGCTGAAGGTAAGACTTGCTCCTAAAAAGATGATCAACTTTAATTCCAACAACTCAAACTGGTCACACATACAGTCTTTTCTTCTTATGAAATCTAAAGAAATCTGAAATTGCACTCTGTGTTAGGGAAGGGGATGCTTGTGTTCTTTTTTTTTTTTTTTTTCCAGCCTTGAAGGGGATATGGAACTTTGAAAGGTGAATTTTTTGGAGGTGTTTTTTTCATCATTTCATGCAAAGTTATCATCCAAGGTTTTATTCTTCGTGTGTTGTCCGACCAGATAAATTGAAAGTGCCCTACCATGTGAAGATTTCAAAGCCATATTAGCCCACTGCCTTTCACTCCATGTCGATGCCGCGTAGAGCAGCCCCTTCCTCTCTACCAACCCCCTCCCCCCCTTCACAACATTTGTCTTCATCTCTGGTAAAACATAATACTGTATGATATCCACCAAGTGTTTAATTACTCCTTTGACTGACCATCAGGAACATTAAGACAAACTGTAGATATGATATTGTCCACTTTGACACCCATATAGTTTTCCATCTCATATGAGGTAGACTGAAATGGATGGAAGTTTAAAAAAAACACGAGAAGAGAAAAAGTTGGAATTGACTTTTTCTTGAGAGCCAGGGGGAGGCAATCCACTGACCTGTCTATGAATCAGCTCACCGTTCTTGTAGGCTACTAAACCATTCTCCGGAAACACGTAGTCATACAGGTTCGTCACTGATAAAAGGAAAGAAATTGGAAAAAAAAAAATAGCTTACAACAAATCAATAAAAACAATATGCAAATAGACTGGACGTTTAAGAGATTCTTTGTGAGCCTTAACAAAGCAACAAAATCTCAATCATTACCGATAAACTTTCAAAAGTAACTTTACCATCATCTCCTCCCATTTGTTCTTGAATTTTATGGAAATCAGACCCACCAACTAAACCAACAACAACCTTTGTGCGAAGCTTCTTCATAAACTCTTTCATTTCTGAAGTGACAACCTATCGATCGAGGTTACAGAAATTATTTTATGGGACAAATTCATTCATAAGCGTCATAAAATGACCCTGATATTCACAGAAAACAATTACTGAGAGAAGCTTACCAATCTGGCAGGAGTAACTGTTCCATCCACATCAAACAAACACAAGACATCCTTAGAACTATTCACAGAAGCCATCTTTAGTTGCGTGACGTGAATATTCTGATCAAAGTACGATCTCAGAAATTTTGATCAAAAGCATACGTCACCAGCACACCCCCAAAATAAGCCAATCACTGAGTAGCATTCTTCCCCGGAGACACTAATTTCACCAAGGAGACTACGATGTTATTCGTCGATACATTTTCCTTTGCGGATTCTAAGAACTTAGTTTAAGTGAGTGGAAATTTGGTGTTCAATCAAAGCAAGGACCTCTAGTATATATGTTACCAAGTTCTCATTAGCTAACTACCGGACAGTGTGACAGAGTTATTGGAGAAATTAACATTCTGATCACTCCTGGGGAAGAAATGTTGAAATGAACCGGAGGTTTTCAATCATCTGTGAACAGTGATACTCAGAGACAACTCCAGCAATCAACAATAATTGAGGAGAAAATGCTGGTATGATCAGGGCTGTCATAGAAATGACCACACCGTTTGAATGTTTGACTGGTAATTTTATTTCTCCTCATAATTTAAACACAATCAACTGCCAAAGCAGCAGCATCACTTCTTTCCATCCACCATCCCTTTACCTTGTTTCGAGCTTATTGTTTTGTTTTTTTTTTAATAAATAGCTCTTGGTGTCCATGAATTTACTTTTAGAGGAATCACAGTATTATTTTAAGTGTCGCTCTTCTGCACAACATCCATGAAATTCTAACTTATGAAAAATTCACTACAAAAAATTACACATTTCACTCAACATGTCTTTTTCTATAAGCCATGAAAATCCTGTATCTTATAAAATCGTACAAAGTCTGCACTGTTTTACAGAAGTATTCTAAAATAAGTTTAAAAAAAGTATCGAATGGGTTGGGCCACAGCAAGGCTGTTGGTGCTTATACTAAGGAGGTGCCAGTTGGCAGAGCTTTGACTTACAGGTCCTACAGAAAATTCAACCCTACATTAAAAAAAAAAATCCTGATGTGCACATTACAAATGAAACCATACTTGTAAAGAGCTGCTCATAAGTTTGAAAGTAGAAGGCAAACAAAGAAAAGGTAGATGGCCAGGTTACCATAGACATCAATGTTGTTTAACCCAGCAAGACAAGATACAATTCAATTAAAATGTCCCAAGTATCCGATAGAGTTTTACACAAACCTTCAAGCAGGTTTTGAATATGGAATTAATTCACACATCTAAACATTTTAAAGGCAAATCATGTAATTAATTCCACTCAAACCTGGGCCATGGTTCACCATCAATAATTGTACAATTTTTCAGCAGCAGTATAAAGGAAATTAGGTGAAAGTAGCGACTGGCAGACTATCTGGTAGTTTTGGCCAGCTTACAGCTCCTATTGACAGCTCTACATGCAAGACACATCATTTCTACAACTACTTATGATTCCCAATATTCAATGCCTCTAGTTGTAATTAAGGTCTGCAGTTGGATTTCCTTGCAGTTATTGTGATAGGGAACTTATATTAAAGCACTATAGGGCCATAATCTGTACTAATTTGGTTCCTTCAAAAGTAAAAAAATCAGCAATAACTAAACAGATTGCCACTGAGTGATACTGATTACAAGTTCCACATTGGGTGAGTCATTACCCAATGTGGAACTTGTAATCAGTATGGTTTACAATCAGCATTTGAAACACATCTGACCACTAGTATATACACCAGCTCCAGCAAGAATCAGACAATGACAACTTGAAGCTCCTTTTTGGCTAAAATGCTAAGAACTGCTACAAAAGAGGTCCATAAGATGATCCTGAAAGTCATGTTGGCCATTCATTCCCCTCTGATCAGGCTACCACACTGATCAGGCTACCACACTGATCAGGCTACCACACTAATCATTCCAACAAATTAGGGAGATGGTAGACTACGCATATGTGACATAATTCAATGAATGGAGCCACAAGATCAATGGAACTAGAGTCTAAAGAATCAGAATAGTTCCATTTCCTCCCAAACCTACGAATGACTCATGCATTTGTGATCGATTAAGAACTAGACTGCTTGAGTGAAAAGCTAAAGTAGATGGACCATTCAAAGTGCAAGTTCTTGGACCATCCAATGGCTTTACAACTTGAACAACTTCACGTTCAAAGATCACAAATGATTGAATCACTAATGGCACCAGAATGCTGCTTCCAATTCTGTTGATTTTTTTTGCACTTAGTCTGTATTGCTCTGCACTTCTGATAACAATGCCAACCCAGACATTTATGAAAACCAGTCTGAAGTGTAGAAGGTTATGTCATGTATATGGGGTTAGGAGTGGGAGTGATGAATAAGGGTATGCATGCAAATCTACAGATCCAATGTGATTCCACAACCAAATCCAGATACGTTAAAAAAAAAAGTTAAATTGAACTCTGTTTGCGACTTAACAAGTGAATTTGTGAAAAACGTACCTTGAACCTTCGTGTTAGCTAAACAGTTTTTTATAAAAAATAGTTTTTATGCTTTAACTTACAATTTGTTTTTAAAATCTTTAAAAAAAATTAACTTTCATTAAAAGAAAAAAATTAAAAGGAGCTAAACAAGTCAGCAGCATTCTGCGAAAAATTGTGTAAAACTGGTTTTATTCTCCATGTTTTCTCTAGACTACTTAAGGGAGTTTCACAAGTTAACAGTAAGAACAGCCTGTAGTCATAAGCCATAGTTAGTGGCTATTACGTGGGCCATGAAGTGTGGCTGGATTTACAAACAGGTAAAGGCAAAGTTGTGAGAAAGAGATTAAGGGAAACTGTGGCCCCCTTAATCTTTTTCTCACCTTGCCTTAAAAAAAATTTCACCCAATAGGATTTAGAATATAAAGGATTTATCATGTAGGGAAACGATTTCCCTTTAATTAGAGTAAAAAACAACTTGTTTACTTTCAAGCACCAGGAGGGAAAGTTACCTGTGATGGTGCGTCCTCGTTTTAATCTCAATTGACAAATTGAAAAATAAAGTGATTGGATAGGTTTCCTCCACATTAATAAAAATAATAATAAAAAAATATACCTGGTCCTCATAAGTATATTTTGTTCTTGCTCAGGAACGACACCAACTTCTCTTTTCTTGTTTTCCAAGAAACAAAACATCCCCCAAGCTTTCATATCACTTTGTTTTTCAATGTTTTGTATTTTACGGATTTCAGTAGCACAAACTCACGGGAATCATTTGTGTTTTCTCTGTTTTGACTGGCTTCTGCCACTTCCAACTCAACTGCCGAAATAGTCCAAAAAGGTACAACATTTGTAAGTCCACCCACTCAAGTTTGTTTTCTTTTCAAAGCAGGTTGCCAATTAGAACACAGGATGCCCTTCACATTGCCCAGTGGTGCTGTCAACTATATTATCTCATAATAGGTATCTTATTCAATTAAAATGTCCCAAGCATCCTGAAGTTTGCACAAAACTTCAAGCAGAATAAAAATATGGAATCAATTCACACATCCAAACGTATGTAACCAACTCCACTCAAAACTGGGAAGTGGCTCACCTTCAACAATTGAATAAATTTCCATCTGCAGTTTTAGTGAAATCAGGTGCAAGTAGCCCCACATAGATGGCAGACTATCTGGAAGTTTTGGTCAGATGACAGCTCTTATTGACAGCTCTACATACAGAACAAATAATTTCTACAGTTTGCTTATGATTCCCAATTTAATGCCTCTGATTGTAATTAAGGTCTATAGTTGGATTTCCTTGAAGTTATATTATTTGACATTAGTCATTTTAAACACCCATGCCCACTGACAGGGCAGCTCAGAAGCAACCAGGGGTGGAATAGCTATTTTCATTCCTTTTTCTTCTGAAAGTGGCTTCCAAGGAAACTTGACTCCTGGCAGACCAAGTAGATTAACACTTGCATTCTCAGCAGGAACAGGCCACCCAAGATTTAGTGTCTCCTCTTTGGGCCATTCCAGTGTAATGGCATATGTCACCCCAGGTTTGCTGGTGTACCTGTGGAAAGATAGACATATCTGTAACAGACCAAACTAGGTATCCGAGTTTATCAGCATAAAAGTGAGTAATAACTTAATGATTATTCTTTCAGATTTTTGGATTATTACTATTAAATACAGTCACAGGGGTTTTGCTCCATTGCTTTGTGTACATTTGTATTCAATTCTATAATACACTTCATTTCTGATACTTTTTGAACCCTGTAATTTAAATATGAAGAAAAAAACGATGACACCAACTAGAACAAAGAACAAAGCTCTCAGCCCCATGAGGAATCAAATGTCAGACCTAATCCGTCACTCTACCACTCAGCCACAGAGATTCTATGGTGAGTTAACGTTAGGCCTTACATTCACTCAATTCACAGGTGACATCCATTGGGTACAATACTAGCATCTGTTCAGCAATGTCTAATGTTTCATGTGTGTGTCAATGGAAAAGGAAGACATTAAATTGTTGAGGCTATAGGTAATGAAATAATGAAAAGACTTTTTCTTTGAGAAAATAATCCTTACCATATATTAGGGGTTAAGGTATCATTTTGAACTCGCCATGGCTTGGTTCCATAAATACCTTCCCCATTAACCTTCAGCCAGTCTCCCATTTGTTCAAGACGTTCCTGAAATATTGGGTCAATCCGACCATCTGCTGTTGGGCCAACATTCATCAGCATGTTACCACCACAACTGTTCAGGGCGAAAATAAATAATTGAACAAATTGTGACTAGAACATTTTTTTAATTAATTCTATTTTCGTAACCAGCAATGCAAAGATCTGTTTATCAGACCAAAGTTATGGCAAAACCCCCATGTCCCATAAAAATAGTCACCTGTAGTGTTAAAAATAAGGAATGGTCATGTTATGAAAACGAAAGTCATGAGGAAAGTCAAAAGGGATAAAGAAAAAGAGGGAAGCTTGTGATTTATAAGAAGAATGGATGGAGGGGACAGCAGGAAAGGCAGAAATAAGAGCTGGATCGAGTTCACTCTGCAGGCAACTGTGCCACAAGAGATATTGAAAAGACACATGGGAAAGAAAAATATTGTTAAGATTCTAACCTCACAGTTGAAGCAAGGATAGTGGTCAATTCATCCATAGTAAGGAAGTCTGAGATAGTTGTGTTTCTACGATATCCCCAGGACTCTTTATCAACTGTCATAGCATCCTCCCACTTGTGTTTCTGCAAAACACCTGAAAAAAGATGAAACTCCCTTTTTAAAAATTAATATGATCTGATACTAAGGTCTACACTCCTTGAGTACTATATGTAATAAATTGCCTCTAAAGGTTTGTGGAGAGACTTAATTTAGAGAGAGCAAAAATTATCTGTAAGTCAAAGAGTGGGTTAATGATACAAAAAAAAAAGACAACAGCTATATTCAAAATATTCATTTGATTGTCAATAATTGTTCATCAATAATAATAAGAAAATTTATCCATCCCTAATCTGCCATCATTAGAACTATGACTGGAATCACAAACTTTTGCATTTCATTGCATTTTCATGTAGCCTGCAGAGCAGGACTGGTGTAATTTGGGCAATTGCGTGCTTAGTTATTTCCTTAGTGAAAAATAGCTGTCATCTTTGATTTTAATGGTAACTTAAGGCTGGAGAGAGAAAGCAATTTGTACCAAGGGGGTGTGTGATAGGATGGGGTGGGAGAGGTAACATTACAGTTCTTTTCTTGCATTCCCCACCCCTTACCCTTATATGAGTAGCTTGCATTACCTTGGATTTAGTACAAACATATTAATGTACGAGTATTATGGCTTACTGCATGACTAAATAACAGTACATTATAAATAATTTGAATATATCAACAAAGTTGAAATGGTAAATTGGCCACCGTTACAATTATAAAAGCTGACATTTCGAGCGTTAGCCCTTCGTCGGACCGAATAGGGGAATTGTGGGTGGTGTGTGCTTTTAAAGGCAGAAAAAGGAGCTATGTGATTGGTGGGAACATGGCAACGAGAAATTTATTCCTGTTTTTCTCGTTGCAATGTTCCCACCAATCACGTAGCTCCTTTTTCTGCCTTTAAAAGCACACACAACCCACAATTCCCCTATTCGCTCCGACAAAGGGCTAACACTCGAAACGTGAGCTTTTATAATTGTAATGGTGGTCAATTTACCATTTCAACTTTGTTGATATATTCAAATTATTTTGTTACCCCCCACCGACGCAGCCCCAAACAGTTTCTTTAGAAACTATCAGCCTTTATACTTTATAAATAACCTACTTGTAGGTTAAATCAAAATTAACCTGAAATAAAATTTGACCGGCAACAGATAATTTATGTTACCTGGATTATATCTGTCAGCACAAGTAAACACACCACCATGGTGGCACATGTCACCCACACCCCAGCGGTCATTCACCACCACAGTATCTTTAACAGGACTGAAAATGAAGTGTAAGAACTTCACTTATCTAACTTAAACCTGCGGGTTATTTTACTGTCATGTGCTTAGAGAGTCAGATTTAGAGGGTTTTAATTTGTACATGTTCAATGTTAAGTGGCCTTGAGGCCAAAGTTGGTCCAATGAATCACAACTTGATGCTGTTTATTAGTAGCACTTTCCATTGGTTGTTTATTCACACCTTTCACAAACAACTCTATTTTGACCTAAAATCATTTAAAAACTAGAATAAAAATTAAAACTGACCAGTGTTTAATTACAAAGAAATATTCTTAACACTAAGAGACTCGTATTTTTCAATGTCTCAGGCACTTCCCTTACCAAACAGACAGAGGCTACAGATCGATATCTTCTTCAGGTCTGCAGCATATCTGTGAAATATCTGCATGACCTATCTGCAACATATATCTGTCCCTTCAGTAAGGGTTAACAAATAAACAAATGCCTTTTTTATGTTTGTAATAATATCAGTAAAATAATTCCTAGGTGGGACATCACCATGCATTTTAAAACTCTAAATTTGGAAACAGCTAGAAGTACATTCTTCACCTTCAATATACCTGTGGATACTTTTTCAAAAATAATAAGCACTTAATTGTGAAAATAACTTTGAGGGGATTCCTCTAGACTAAGTATCCTCTAATTTTTACAGTTGGTTTCACCTAAGTTTATAATTTTGTAATTTTGTTCTCTGTTATAAAATGTTACCTGTCATTATACAGCCATGCTAGAAATTCTTTGCTCTTCCAGTAAGAATCACTAGCTTCCCAGTCACCATCTGACCAAATATACTCAGGCTTGTAAGTCTCTACAATATCGTACATCTGGGGCAGCATAACTTCCTTTTTACGGGCGGCACAGGCGTAAAAAAACAAAAAATGCATAATTATTATCCAGGATTTCACAAGCAAGTAAAAACTAAAGATATAGTGTTTTGGTGACCTTGTAACGTCATTATCAATGTTTAAATAAAAAAGAGTGAGTTCAAAGGAGTTATAACCTTTAAATTTATCTAAATAAAGTTAAATATTAATTAATTACTTAATGGCACGTCAAATCTGTTTGTACATTTTAACATGGTCTTAATTGATTGACATACACCATTTCGTTCATCCAACAATCAAATATGTTCTTGAATATATTTTATCAACACTTTGAAACAACAAAGGAGGTCCTCAGAAACTGCAACTGCTGGTTGTTATTATTATGATTACGCACAGAGGACAATGTGCAGTTATGGCCAACCACACGTGCATGCAGATGTCTATGAGTATAACCAGCATGGCTACCTGAGTGTTTAGCATAGGTTACATTGAAAATTGTAAAACAGTATGTAGTTGGGAGATTACAAGATCAGAAAAAGAAATTAAACAGAGCTATAAGGTTTTCATTTAACCCTTTGACTCCAATGATCTCATTATAAGCAGTTCCTCAGTAACCATCTGCCAATCAATTCTTATTATCATATTTGTTTGGTAATAAATTTGCTACTTGGTCTGCTAAAAATCCTCCAATTGATATATTTCTTTATTCTTGTCACCTATTTGTTTGATATTGTTTTGAAATTGTAGGCATCAACTTTGTCTTGTTCACTCATGGGAGTTCAAGGGTTAAAACTGAATCTATCTTTTAATAATTCAACTTACATTAACATATGTCTGTGTGGCAAATTTACTTTGTTTATCTTCCAGATAAAGAGGATTAAACCACTCGTAAAGGGAATAGTACAAACCAAATGTGATGTTAGTGCGCTTCCTAATGGCTGATGCTAGATCACCTGTTCAACATATTAAATAAAATGATTAAATTCTTTCCATGCAATGTTTTAGGAACAATACCATGGTGGGCATCAGCAAGGCTGTGGTCGAAGAAAAAATGAAGGAAGCCCAGTGCTCAGAAACTGTGAAATCCAGGGTGCCCAGCATATGCTTTTTATTAAAAAACTAAGATTCCTGAGTAACCCAGGAGCAAAAGTGAGGTGTCAGGGGCCACCGGGCACTGCTAGACCACAGCCCTGATAAGGTCTTAGTGAGCACAATAATGGGGTTGGCTTTCGCCTGTTTTGTATCTTAAGCAAGAGCTTAATTTCGCTAGTGGACGACCAACTTGGTCATGTTACGTGTGACTTAAGGTGGTTGATAAGTAACTCTAGCCAGGCACAATTCCATGAAACATAACACGATTTGAAAATGCATGATAACATAAAATGCCCAAGTTGAGAGCAAAAGCTTGCTTACCAACAAGATCCCTATGAGGACCGTTATCTACAGAGTTCCAGTTCCAAGAAACATTTGAACTCCAGTTTGTCCAGCCCTCATGGTGTTTACTTGTCAAAACAATGTACCTATCAAAGAAGAAAATAATTAAAAAAATAAGACACTATGTCTTTAAGCTTGGACACAAAAAAGCAGTAGCTGACAACTTATGGGTTGTTGTCAATCCTTAAAAATAAAAATAAAGGCTGATAACTTCTAAAGAAACTGTTTGGGGCTGCGTCGGTGGGGGTAACAAAATAATTTGAATATCTCAACAAAGTTGAAATGGTAAATTGGCCACCGTTACGATTATAAAAGCTGACGTTTTGAGCGTTAGCCCTTCGTCGGAGCGAATAGAGGAATTGTGGGTTGTGTGTACTTTTAAAGGTGGAAAAGGAGCTACGTGATTGGTGGGAACATGGCAACGAGAAAAACACGAATAAATTAGTGGAATGAAAAGCGTTCGTTGATACCTGTGGGATTTAGACTGCCGGTTTGAAAGATGAGCTTTTGTNGCCTTTAAAAGCACACACAACCCACAATTCCTCTATTCGCTCCGACGAAGGGCTAACGCTCAAAACGTCAGCTTTTATAATCGTAACGGTGGCCAATTTACCATTTCAACTTTGTTGATATATTCAAATTATTTCTTAAAAATAAAGGTTTACTTTTCCAAAATAAGAGTAATGAAATAATTCCCTCAGAGAAGAAGAGAGATTATCAATAACCTTGATTGTCAGTATATAGATCTCCATTGAAGAAAATGAGCATTGTTACAATCAGTTGAGACACCTTGAGCAAAGTGCATTTCCCAAATTTACTAGATGGCCACGAAGTAATTTGTTGCAAAAAATCAAATGCTGCCCCTTTCCCTAATCAATGCTGTTCATCGAAGTTTTGAACACAAGACTGCTTAACTACCAACACTGCAAAGGGAGAGTGGGGGGGGGGGGTACAGTAGGTTGGATCCGCTGGTGAACAGTTATCTCTTGTGGTGGTAACATGTCTCAATTCATTTTTCATTTTTCAACTGGTTCTATCAAATAACATAAATAGCCACATGTTCGGTTCAGCCCCTAACCAAGCCTAAATTTATTCAGATCTCTTTTTCTGCAATGACTTTATGTACAATAAACCTGAGAAATTAATCTGTTTCTTGTTCCTTACGTACAAGACAAAAAGTATGATTTACTACCAAAACAGTTTCTGACAACTATTCCTTCACTCCAGCAAAGAGAGTTGCAAGGGAGGGGTTGGAGGGGTGGGCCTACAAGCAGCACATCCTAGACCTCCTAAAGTCTAGAAACTGAAATAAATTGAGACTGTTGGCCTTGCTTTAATCATCAACTGCAAGATGAGAAAAAGTCTACAGCTAGAATAACAAAACTTGACCCATTAACAAAAATTATCTCCTGAGAAATAACATCACTTCCAAGGAAAACTTTGCTGACAAAAACTGCTTCAGGTCCTTCAGCAGATTTTGAAAACATAGCTTTTTCGCGGAAAATGAAACTAAGTCAACATCATCAGATATCATGGAATACAGACCCAATGGAGGCTAACTGTAGCATTTGTAGTCAAAATCTTAAAACTCTTAAACCGAGAGTTTTAGTCAATGAAAATAGATCAAGTTTTAAACGAAAAAGTTTACACAAAGAGAAGCCTTTATCATGCAGGTACTTATGACAAAATCATCTATTTTTATAACCATTTTTTTTTTAAGTCAACTAGCTATTACATAATTTTGTTTATTCAGCTCGACTTAACTGCTTCGAAAAGCTTCAAATGCTCTATCTTCGTAGTATAAAGAAGTAGTCCGTGCAATGGTATCAATCAAAGTAGTAAAAGAATCGCAACCTTTTACAAATCATGAAAAAATCGACCCACAAACCTGGCACCTGATCGAGCTAACAGGTCCGCCCACGAATCAGGGTCGAAAAACTCAGCCCTGAACATCGGCGCAAAATCAGCATAGGAGAAACCTGGGCGATAATTCTTTTTCATAAATTGAACATATTTTGGATCATTTTCTCCTTTCCAATGCCACCAAAACCATTCGGAGCCAAAACTCGGAACAGCGTACACCCCCCAGTGCATGAACATTCCGAACTTAGCATCGTCGTACCAGGACGGAAGTGGCCGCGAATCAAGCGACTCCCACGTCGCCTGATATTTCGCTTGAACGCTAAGCAACTGTAAGCCCAGGAGGAAAATACTGATACTTCTTAACATTTTTCTGAAGGTAAGCGTCTGCATCCAGAGACAAGATTTAAGTCAAGAGTGTGCAAGGTTGACCACACACGACACGATAACACGAGATTGAAACATCTGTTGTATAATAAGGCATGAACTATCGCTCAAACGCCATGCATGTTCCCAGTCCCTCAACTTTTTTTTTTTTTTTAAATTTTATTTCACACTATTAATGGAAGTTAATATTTATATGAAAAATAGGAGAGAGAGAAGAATAAAAGTAATATTTAGCCATAAAGATAAGTTTGAGAAGTGCACGGTGTCCAAAGTAGCAAAAGCTTTCTAGTTGGACACCACAATGGTCATATAAATAGATAGCAGCCTATAATAAAAGTAAATCAGCGGTAAAGTAAGTAAAAATGATTAGGTTTCGTTGAACAAAGTTGAAGTTTCCATTTTTCCTTAAGAGTAGATAAGTAACAAAGTAAAATGATCAGGTTTGGTTGAGCAAACGTTGATGTTTCCATTTTTTTTTAAAGCTATTGTAAGGCATATATTTAAGGTAAGTGAGTACGGTTTCCCATATCTTTGAAGCAGAGAATATAAATGATTTTCCCATTTTGGTGGATACTCTTGGTCTAAATTATTATTAATTATTAAATTATTATCTATTAAAATTATTAAAATTATTAATTATTAAATTATTATCTATTATCTATTAAATTATTGTCTAATTATTATTAGTAGCAAATCTTGTATTATAATTATGTTTTTCAGATGTCTCAGACCCACGACTAACTTTATATTGTAACTATAATAAGTCTGGTGGCATTTTATTGCGTGGAAATAAAACAGGAAGCTCCTTTTATGTCAGGGTTAAATAATGATCTCTTATGGTCATTATCACCGCGCCGCTCCAAAACCTTTTGTGCTTTACAGCTGTTACCTTGGTTACCCTCTCGCCTCGCGTCACATTTCTAAAGCTCGTTTACCAGTATTCGTGCAAACAGGGCAGGCATCGAGTTTCAAAGTTTCAATTTAACTTATTGACGCTGGCAATGTGGCATCACAGGTGGCGCAAGCTCTGTCACAGGCTCTTTCACAGTGAATATATAATTAAAGAGTTCGTAGAGTGGTTTGGTTAGACTTACTTTTGAGCTCCTTAAATGTAAAGTTGTGTTAAATCAGAACTCTGGTGAAATAATCAAAGAAATAAAGTCTTACCTTAATAGAGAGTAACGGGTCCTCAACGGGACCTCCCCATAGTCTTCTAACACCAACCCTTCACACCACAGGCAGCCCAAGCTCTCTTTGAGAACCACACAAGGAACACAATTTGCA